AATAACTCTTTATTAGTTAATATTTTGTAATACATTACTGAAGCAAAGATGTTTATCTCAACCATTTACAACTATATATTATGGTTTTTATGTCGTATGGTACAAAATTAGGGGCCACAAGGGGCCATAATGCTAAATCTTTGACGCTTTATATCTCGAAAGAGAGAAATATTTTGATAAGTATTATTGAACAAAAGATGTTCAAAATAATGTTCTGAACAATACGCAACATTTCATTTTTCGCTAAACGTCCTCATTAAGGAGTTGAAGGGTTGGCCCCTAAATATTTCTTATGCAAATAACTCGAAAAAGAAAAAGAATCTCTGAATAGTTGTTGAACACAAAGTGATAAAAATCCTGCGAGCTTGAAGATGATATGAAGAAAAAAAGGATGAGCCCTAATATTAGGGGCCGTGAGGGGCCAAAAGTCGATTTTTTAAGTTTTCTATGTTTAATATCTTTTTACAGATTTTGGAAAATCGTTATTTTAGAGTTAAAATCTCAATCAAAATCTTATCTCATCTCGTCAAGCATTGGACGGAAGACCCACTCGTTGCTCGCAACGAGATCGTATCTAGTTATTATTATTATTCTTTTTTTTTCTTTACAATTTTTGTGCAGAAGATTTCTCGGAGATGACTCGACCGATTTACTTCAAATTTTCGGAGAAGGTGTATCTTTATCTAAACCTTATACGTTTTTTTCATTTTTTGAAAATTCACTTCCGGTCGGAAGTTATCGCCCTTTGATCGAAATTTTGATGACCTCCTTGTCTGTGATGGAACTCAAAAACGGCTCAAGCTAGAAAACTGATTTTTTCAGGGATGATAGAGGACATGTTGCCCTATTGCAACATGGTCAGGATATTTTCCGGAAGTGCCTAGTATGGAAGCTCGGTAGGGGTCAAAATTTAGGACAGGAATCAGGACTGATTTTTTGAGACATTTTGCATCATATCTCTTAAAGTATAATTATTTTGTTAAAACATACTGAGGAATATTTTTGCAGAATGACACGATCTCTAATATGATATCAAGAAAAAAGTGCTGACTCATCACATTAGGGGCCAAGAGGGGCCAAAAGTCTTTATTCGATAACTCTTTAACAGTAAATATTTTGTTAAACATTACTGAAGAAAAATTGTTTATCTCTACAATCTGCAATTATATATTATGATTGCAATGTCGTATGGTACATAAATAGGGGCCAGAAGGGGCCAAAATGCTGATCTTTGACGCTTTATATCTCAAAAGTGGGAAATATTTTGATAAGCAATATTGAACAAAAGATGTTCAAAATAATGTTTTAAACAATATGCAACCTTTCATTTTTCGCTAAACGTCCCCGTTAGGGAGTTGAAGGGTTGGCCCCTAAATATTTCTTTTGCAAATAACTCGAAAACGAAAGAGAATCTCTGAATACTTGAAGAACAAAAAGTGTTCAAAATCCTGAGATGTTTAAGATAAAATCAAGAAAAAGGGGCCAGACACTCAAATTAAGGGCCAAGAGGGGCCAAAAGTCTTAAATCGATAACTCAATAGCAGTCAATATTTTGATAAACATTACTGAAGCAAAAATGTTTATCTCAACAATCTAAAACTATATATTATGTTTAGAATGTCGTATGTTACATAATTAGGGGCCAGAAGGGGCCAAAACGCTAAATCTTTGACGCTTTATATCTCAAAAGTCGGAAATATCTTGATAAGTAATACTGCACAAAAAATGTTCAAAATAATGTTCTGAACATTATGCAACCTTTCATTTTTCGCTAAAAGTCCCAATTAGGGAGTTGAAGGGTTGGCCCCTAAATATTTCTCTTACAAATAACTCGAAAACGCAAAAGAATCTCTGAATAGTTGTTGAACAAAAAGTGTTCAAAATCTTAAGAGTTTTAAAATGAGATCAAGAAAAAGGGGCTGGGCACTCAAATTAGGGGCTAAGAAGGGCCAAAAGTCTTTAATCGATAACTCTTTAGCAGTTTATATATTGTTATACATTACTGAAGCAAAAATGTTTATCTCAACAATCTAAAACTATATATTATGTTTTGAATGTCGTATGTTACATAATTAGGGGCCAGAAGGGGCCAAAACGCTAAATCTTTGGCGCTTTATATCTCAAAAGTCGGAAATATCTTGATAAGTAATACTGAACAAAAGATGTTCAAAATAATGTTCTGAACATTATGCAACCTTTCATTTTTCGCTAAACGTCCCCATTAAGGAGTTGAAGGGTTGGCCCCTAAATATTTCTCTTACAAATAACTCGAAAACGCAAAAGAATCTCTGAATAGTTGTTGAACAAAAAGTGTTCAAAATCTTAAGAGTTTTAAAATGAGATCCCGCTAAAGGGGCTGGGCACTCAAATTAGGGGCTGAGAAGGGCCAAAAGTCTTTAATCGATAACTCTTTAGCAGTTTATATATTGTTATACATTACTGAAGGAAAAATGTTTATCTCAACAATCTAAAACTATATATAATGTTTTGAATGTCGTATGGTGCATAATAAGGGGCCATAAGGGGCCAAAATGCAAAATCTGTGACGCTCTATATCTCAAAAGTGGGAAATAATTTGATAAGTTCTAATAAACAAAAGATTTTCAAAATAATGTTCTAAACAATATGCAACCTTTCATTTTTCGCTAAATGTGCCCACTAAGGAGTTGAAGAGTTGGCCCCTAAATATTTCTTTTTCAAATAACTCGAAAACGAAAGAGAATCTCTGAATAGTTGTTGAACGAAAAGTGTTCCAAATCCTGAGAACTTTAAGATGGTATGAAGAAAAAGGGGCTGATCCCTAATATAAGGGGCCGTGGGGGCCAAAAGTCGAATTCTTAAGTCTTAATGTTCAATGTCTGTTTACAGATTATGGAGGCATGATCGTTCTTCTCCACAATCTTTATCATTATTTTAGAATGAAAATCTCAGTCAAAATCTTATCTCATCTTATCAAGAATCGGACGGAAGACCCACTCGTTGCTCGCAACGAGATCGTATCTAGTTATTATTATTTTTCTTCTCGGGAAAATTTTGTCCGCAAATGATCTTGTAAAGTACACATCCGATTAAGGGGAAACCTTTTTAGGGTAAGTAGGCATGTTATGTAGATTTGCGGAACGAAGGTCATTTTGCGCGCACGTGCTTGCAAGAGCGCGCACGTGCAACACGTGAAATGACCAATATACTTGAAATTGCCGTATCTTTTACATTTTTCAATGTAATGCTTTGATTTTTAGAATATATAGACAGATTATAAATGTAGATAAGATGACATTGTCAACATGCCATTTTGTGTGCACGTGCTTGCAAGAGCGCGCACGAGCAACACGTGAAATGACCGATTTTATTGATATAGGCGTAAATTTTTACCTTTTTAATGAAATGCTTTGGGACTCATAATATAAGGATATAGTAGTAGCATAGACAATATGACATGGTCAAAATAGCAAGACCTCACGCGCATGCACGTGCGCTTCGCTCTGATTGGCTGATACTAAAGTCTCGAAATCTTTCTTGTTTTTTTATGAAATCCTTTAAATTTTGCACATAACCATGCATAAGGATATCCTACAACATGATATATAACAATTTTCATGAAAACACGTGCATGCACGTGCGCTGCAATCTGATTGGCTGAAACTTTAAATAGCTATAACTCCGTTGGTTTTCAACCAAACAGGATGGGATTTGGAACATAGATAGATATAATAGACTTCTACAAGAAGGTATGGTCACTATGAACATCCATACACGTGCGTGTACATGCGCTGCAATCTGATTGGCCGAAACTTTAAATAGCTATAACTCCCTTAGTTTTTAACCAAACAGGATGAGATTTGAAACATAGATAGATATAATGGACTTCTACAAGAAGGTATGATCACCATGCACATCTATACACGTGTGTGAACGTACGCTGCAATCTGATTGGCTGAAACTTTAATCAGCTATAACTCCCTTGGTCTTCAACCAAACGGAGTGGGATTTAGAACATAGATAGATGTAATGGACTTCTACAAGAAGGTATGTCACCATGCTCATGTATGCATGTGCGTGCACGTGAAATGAGTAAAATCAAAAATACACTTGAATGAGCGTATTTTTTAATACTTTTGGATTAAATACTTCAATATTTAGTATATTAAAGTATATAGATTGTGTAGACAAGATGATATGGTCATTACGCACATGCATTCACATGCGCGCGCATGCAAAGCTAGAATTTGAATGAACTTGGTACCCTTCATGGTTAAGGTTGTTATAGTCTCAAATGCATAAAGTTTGTCTTATTTATTGAAGCTTACAGGGAATATGGCACCAAAAGGGAGATGGGGAGCGTTTGGGGAACATCTGTAACGGTCCCCGTTACAATTAGCACTAGTTTTTATGTGCATTTTCTGTTTGTAAATAATGTATTGACATCTATTTTCCATGATACTTTTGCCCTGTTTTGGAAAAAATACGTAAATTTTGATAATTTTATCGAGATTGAGTAGCACGCTTTGTAAGATGTACGTCTACACTCGTCGGATATCTACAGTGAAATACATTGAACTGACTAGCGATCTGCTCCTAATATACGAGTTGTAGGGAGAGCGTCGAAGAACGGGAAATATGGCGGACTATGCCTATTTACGAGTAGTGTTCAGCTTTAATGCCTCATTTTTTTTTCGATCGCCATGGTTTCTTAGGTTTTATTAGATAATATCACCGCAAGATACCTCAATAGTTTAATCCTAGTGTGATGTTTCAGAATTTTTCAGTGGAGAAAAGGATAAAAATATTTTTTCTGAAGTAAAAAAAACTGTCTAAAAGAAGGGAGAGGTAGATGATGATATGAACTTTAAGTCTACATAATTACGTGTACCCTGTGTTATTCTCATTGACAAGATATTGGAAGTCGCATTCACTTTTAATATGTAAACATATCCATAATTTGTTGACTTGCTTAAAAGTCTAACTTAAGTAAAAACATTTTAAAATTTCTCTCTTATCAGAAATAGTACGGCGGACACACAGAATATGTCAGCATATGTGTTCATCCTTCTGCGTCAAAAGTTTGGGTCATCATTGGAAGTTAGTGCTAGGAGAGAAGTAATGGACCTAACAAACACACTGGCAAATCAAATGAGAAAAAAATGTGACCAGAGCTGTATGATGATAAGTGGAAGTAAAAGAGAAGGATTCAGGCTAATGAAGTCAGATGTAGATATTATGTACTGGACGGATAACTACCGTGTGATCTGGGAAGTACACGAGTCTCAATATTATAACAATCTCAGCAAGGAACTGATACTCAGTGACGGTTCTGAAAGCCCACCAGGATTCACCCTGTTATATCTTTTTTCACCAATTTTAAACAGAGAAATCCAGAGGGCTTGTGTCAAAATGAAGAATAGACATTACATTTCTAGTTCTAAATACAAAGCAATAAAGTGTTCTGAAGAATTACAGAAATCGAATCTCCATGGACCTTGTGTAAATAGATTTCATGGTATGCTTGAATATGATTTTGCACACTGTTTTGCATCGAAAATTTGGCCTCCATCTGCATCTTCATGGAAAGAAAGAAGCCATTCATGGCCACCACAACATGTTCGTAATGACATAATAAAAAGTGGATGTCATTTTGTGGCAATTGGACATAAACTAGGAAGGCATGATCATGAACCTAATGAATGGAGAATTTCTTTCTCTTTGGCAGAACAAAAACTTGTGCATATAATGAACCACGCTCAGTTCTTAACATACGGCTTGCTCAAATTATTTTTAGATAAAATAATTAACACGAGATTAGGTGATTATGATAAATTATTATGTTCTTATCACATGAAAACGGCAGTTTTTTGGGCGATTCAACAAAATACAATATCCAAGTGGTACTCACATACTCTTCTTGACTGTTCCTGGATCTGCTTTAAAATCATCCTCAAATGGGTGTATGAGGGGGTGTGTCCTAACTTTTTTATTCCAAGTAACAACATGTTTCTGGGAAATATTTATGGTGAAGGCCAACACGTTTTATTTACTAGACTCTATGAATTTTACGAGATGGGTATAAAAGTTATGCTTGAAACTCTCTCGATTACGACTTGTGATGTATGCATTCAGTTAATGTGTGATCCCAGAATTTTCTATTGTGCAGATGAAGATACACAGTTGTCTGAGACTGATTTTGATGTCAACTTATTAAGAGAGGTAGAACAACAGGGCTCATTTTCTGTCTCAAACGTACAAGAATGCATTCAGCTTTTCAATATAATAGAACAGACGATTTCTTCATCCCTAACAGAGTGCCAAGCTTTTATGCTACAGATTATTACAAAATCTGTTCTCCAGAATCTGGTTTTTATGTCGCATATAGATATTCATACAAAAGAAAACAAACTGAAGTACAGAGCTGACAAAAAGTTTCGTTATATCCTGAAACCTGCTGCGAAGTTTGGTTGTATTTCCGACATGTTATACGTAGCCATGTATCATTACAAAACATTTAGATACCGGGAAGCATTAGATTTAATAGATGTGATCAAGGTCAAGCTAGCACAGCCATACGTGATGAAGAGTTTTTTAAACGAAGATGAGGAGATGTTTACCGAGGTTGTAGGGGATCAGTCCTGGTCTACAAAAATGAGAAAAGCTGTAGCATGGAATATCAAACTTAACAATAACATTTTTTTCCTCAGAGAACTGAGACCAGAACAACAGTCCAGCCTAGAAAACGGTGTGCCTTGCTTATATATACCACCCTTTGTAATGTTATACATGCTAGAAATCTTTTGCTGCCGACAGTTTGATTTCAAAAGAGCACAAAAAGCTTTAGGTAATTTGCGGGCTTTAGTTCATTATGATCAGAGACAGCACATACCTCCAATTGCTAAAAACATAGCATGGCAGATCTTAGGGATTTGTCAGCAGATGACAGGGGACCTTCAGGATGCTTTAGCTTCATATCAACAATCTCTTAGAGAAGATCAACTCCACAGTATACAGAGTGCTACAGAATCGAGAATCCATAAACTCCATCCATGGAATGACGCTGCTATCCAACTTTTGAAGAAAAGTCCATTAAATAAATATGGAATTCAGTTTATTTTTACGTATTGTGATATTGTATAGGAAACTAACATAAAATAGTTTATCATCAATGTATTTTTATGAACGAACATTTTGCTTTAAAGTGAAGCAACATATCGGTCATTGTTTGTAAATATGCATTGTGGTTTTGCTGCCATTTGACAGCATAGATTATGTCTACTGAATGAAATGCTAAAATAAGAAATTTGTGCTAAAAAAGAAAATATTTCCTTTTTGCATGATATACACAGTTTACATAAATAACATTCTTTTTTTAGAGTATAAATTTCCAATTAAGAAATGTTTTTAAGTTTTTATTTGAATAATTGGTGTGTGAATCTAGCGCTTCATGAAAAATATGCCTGTGTGACAAGTCTGTTTGATTCATACACCAATAACTCACACAAAACTTAAAAAAAAAACATTCATTATATTTACATTTTTTTTAGGTTTGGAAGCAACAAAAATATACTCAGTAATTTCTCGCTGCTCTATATTATATTTTTACCAACGTCGCTGTAGCCTTATTGTGACGTCACGTCAACACACGTTTTTCCGTGTATATTTCTACGCGTGAGTATACACGAAAATGACTTTCAAATCAATTTCACAGTTGGCTTTGTAGTAAAAAACAGCGAATGTAAATATTGTACATTTCATGTATATATAAATAAATGGAATCATTGACAAAGAATTGGTATTGATATTATAAAAAAAGTGTTGTGTTCCTATTCGTGAAAACACCAATACTTTAGGCAATTCTACAAAATATGCACATGACTGATGTACATAAAATATGCTTGAAAGTTTCTGGTATTGTATTAAACTGTGGCTAAATTGATTGGTAGTGATGGTGAGGCTGTCCTTGCTACAGGATGTTAGTTCTGTTTATTTTGGAACAGAAAATAATTATAGGAAAAGTATAGAATGCATGTTATTTTTTTCATTATCTTAATTCATGCATGGATAAATACCATTTATACTCTCAAACTTGTTATCTATAATGATGAATATGCTACGATTTTCGAGACTGATTTTGATGTGAAAAGCAACTTTGACTTGATACCAACATTAAATCTTTCTTAAATTCGTAAATTGAAATATCTAGGTATAAGTTAATGAGTTCATCCTTGTAAATTTAACAAGTCATAATGCTTAGAAAACAATGAGATGTTTATCTTTAAGAACATATGCAACATACAGCCTACTCCGGATATATTGAAATTTAGGGGACCATGCAAATTATTTCAATATATCCGCAATTCAATATAAGCGAAATCATAAAGCCGCCATTTTTAGAAGTTCAATCCGGATCCAAAATAAAGAAGAACAAACCCGAACAAATTTATTTTGTTCTCGTTTATCTATAACAGTGAACAGGTTACATAGAATATGAGTCCTTGAAAGTTTAAATATTTTTTTTTTATTTCTGTTACATCGAAAAGATAATCTTCAACCTCATTATTATTCCCCTATCGCATTTATTTGCGTTTTAGAAAATTAACCGGACGTTCTAAAACGTTCTGCTGAATGCTGCTTGTATATCATCGTAAGTGTATTTGGGTTAATCCCTTAGTTATTTCTAATTTAGGCATACCAATAGTCATTAACAGCATGCATTTAATTTCAAAGTTATGTTTTTTTTTTCTAGATCTGTGGGGGTTACTATTATAATATTACGTTTAGCTGTTTAGCCTCGATATGTCCGTATTATATACATGGACGCAAAGAATTTAACAGTGAAGAATTTTATTTCGTAAGAACATGCAGTATAAAAACACATAAGGTGAAAACTCAATTATTCACACCTTTGTATATCACCTGGTCAATCAGGCATAATTACTGTCACCAACGACAGCTGCCAGGGAGTACGTCAATATAACCGTTATGAAAACAACTCATTATCACCTGTGAGGAACGATCAGTAGCTTCAATATAAGCGAAATTTCAATATATCCGATTTCAATATAACCGTTATTTTAATGCAAAGAATATGAGAGGCAAAAACGGGGGACTTATTTCTATTTCAAAATAAGCGGAATTTCAAAATAAGTGAGTTCAATATAAGTGGAGTAAGCTGTATTTTGATCCTAATTGTCATTTTACTTGGAGTTAACTAGAACCAAATCTTATATACGTGTACTACTTTTTGAATATCTATGTATGGCGCTGAAAACTTTTTTTGAAATAAATGTAAATAATTTGTTGTTTTTGTATTCTCGCCTCTTATTGGTTGATTTCCAAAAAAGGAACGCAAATTACTGTATGATCTAGTTTGGTATGGGGAATCCCCCATCCCCCTTGACGACCAGCTTAATCATCTTATCCATGCAATCCCCTCATTTCCAGTGCTCGGAATCCATGGAAAATTCCATATTAAATAAATGTACCTTTAACTTCAAACAGTTACTTGATCTTACCTTATGTAAACAAACATCATGGCTGCTAGATCTATGTATCAATTATTATCTCCCCTCGCTTCTCTTCACTTTCGTTACTACAGAATGATGTATTATTGTGCGGTAAATTTGAACTCATAAAGAGCAACATAATTTTACATCCATCCAAAGTCGTTTAATTATTTTCAAATTAAAATATAGGGAATGACTGTAATTCTTGAACATAATTTGACATAGAATTAGAGTCATTCCTTAATTTGAAAATTTCTGGAATATATGTCTAGCACATGTTGAATTATACAAGAATTTTCATTAATTAATACATACTCAAAAACGGATAACCATGCTGATTCTGTGATTACGAACATCTGATGACACTTTAAGCTTAAATAAATACAAAAAAAAAAAAAATCTTGAAATCTTCAGTACATGTAGGTATGGTACGTTATGTTTGCCTTTATGCGGTTAAGCAGATAACTTTACATAGAGTGAAGGGGTGGGATAACGCTTGTCTTCAAAGACCAGTGTCGCCTGCGTGGCGCAGTGTTTAGAGCGTCTGTTCCAAAGTTGCGAAGTAAGGAGTTGATCCTTAAAATCCCACTGTGGGACGTGGAGATCATTCTTTCGGTTAACAGTTGTCTATAATTAAAAAATTTAGTTTTTATTAAGCACAGGAATGGTTATCTTAAGTAAAGCAAAATCGTTTTGATTAATTGGTTGATTGTGTTTTATTTAATGCCCCATTCGAAATTTTTTTCAGTCATATAGAGACGTCACCGTATGCCAGTAAAGGGCTTTAAATCTAGACGTTTACTCGGCACTCAGGGCTATTGAGCAGTGATTGCTCATTTATTGTGATAACGTCTGCCGTGACATGGGACCTACGTTTTTAAGGTCATATTCGAAAAACCCGTGACTTTCACTTCTAATGCCGAGAGCTTGGCGAAGGAGCAGTCACTACGTTACCTATATTTACGCCTTAGGTTTGACGCGGCACCGCAAACGAGATCACGAAGCGAACGCTCTACCACTAGACTAACGTGACCGGTAAGTCGTTTTTTCCATTTTTGTCAGATTTATGTTAATTTTCCTTACTTTCAGGAAATCCAGCATTAAATAAACCAACATGGCAAGTAATTCCTTACAATCCAAATAACTCCACATTCCGCTACAGAAGTACTGTTGACTGCAGAAATACTGATTCTGATTGGGGGTGAATAATCTAGAATATCTCTTTGTAAGCAAACCAATGGAACCTGAAGGGTAAACATAAGATTTATTGTCAGAATACATCACATTCAGATACATAAGTGGACTGAAATATGAAGTGGAGAAGGAAAGCATTAGCATATTTCTTGATGTATAACTGTAATTCTGTTTCTTTTCTACAATGTCAGTGACTCATTTATCTGCATCTTCGTTAATGTAAATACATATGCTTATACCAGGTTTCTCCGAAACTTTTAAAACACTTAAATACTGTTTAATTTTAAAACCACATTACATGAAAGAAGATGCAACTGATACGCCACAACGACGTTACGAACGTCATTATTGACTCCATTACTCATCAAAACATAGAAAACAACACAGAGACCATCAACAGAAACGACAAAGCAGTTTTGGAAGATCAAAAGATACACCACGAAACGACTATCCGTAATAAAAGGCGAGGCCGAAAGCAAAGACTTTCCAATGACATCATTTGACAGAATAAGAATAAACATCGAAATGAGAACAGTCCAGGGGCTCATTTTACAAAAGAACTTACGACTAAGACCAATACCTTAAGATTATTGTAACATTTTGCAAATTTATTAATTTTCTTTGAAATTGTTCGTGTAAATATATCTCAAAATACCACATTCCTTTAAAAAGTTTAAAATAATTTTAAACATTATGTAAATTATATGAAAAAGTTATATGAAGAAATAAATTTGGTCTTAAGTCGTAAGTCCTTTTGTAAAATGGGCCCCAGTCCCTCTCATTTGCAGTCTTGCAGTTGGATGGGATGGATAAAGAATTCGATTTCACACTAACAAAAATTCTAACAATAGTTAATTAAAGTCAGCTATAGTAAATCAAAGTGTCATAGTGATCACTAACGTAAAACAAAGTTTTTAAAGTTTTTCAAAGTGTTCATTATAGTATCAAAGTGATCACTATAGTAAATCAAAGTTTCCATAGTGTCAAAGTGTTCTCTATAATTAACTTTAACTATAGTTAACTATAGTATTTTTTTGTTAGGGCAGTTAGGAAATAAACCGCTATGTATATATGTCCATTTTGAATTGCGACGTCCCAGGGTCATGAAGAAGATAAATTTAAAGCATTCTGGGCAAACGCAAGACAAAAAATTCAAGTGTAACCACTGTAAGTATGCCTCAGAGAGAAATATCGCTTTAAGAGACATTACGAACGCCGACATTATGTACGCACCGACCAGAAGAAACCGGAGCACAACCCTGAGGAATAGAATACGACCCGGCGCCGTACTCAGCTGATGTCTACCTATATCCGGAAGAGAGACAAACAAGCGACACTCAACAATGTAATGAATTTGTGTGTTGTCAAGCGGTTACATGATTCCTACACGAAGATGCCGCCGAACAAAGCAAGGACGAAAAACTGAGCGTGTGTGATGCGATTACACATTGTCGTTAATATAAGGTGAATTTCGGGGACGGAATAGACCGAATTCAATTGACATGTGTCAATGATTTCAAAATCTTAAGAAGTCGTGGGTTGCATTATAGACGTTATAAATAGTGACTTTTACAGAAAATACTTTTTGTTACTTTATAAATAATGCATTTAATTACTCTTAAATATATAGGTATGGCTTTAATAATGTGATCATTGTAACGTATATAGATCATGATTTTTGTTATTTTTTCAGTTTGTTTGCTCGCATAGTTCTGAAAAAGGAAAATTCATACCGACGAACAGATGAAGAAATTTAAATAAAAAGCAGAATGCGATTTTTGATATCCTTCTAAATGAGTGAACGTATAAGATAATTCCAATAAAGTTCCTACATAGACACACTGTCAATATCTTCTGCAAATTATGCAATACATTTAATTATGCAATCTAGCATTAAAAATCCTAATTTTGACAGGTATTCAGTGCATGATTCGGATCATTCCTTTTGGTTAACGCCCTTAATTCTGCGACAAAAGTTTAAAACTAAATTTAAAATAAAAATGTATGACAGGTTTTAAAACCAGATCGCATGATCAATTTTGTATCAACTACGCACTAAAAAGATATTTTACTTCCTTGTCGATATCTTTACACCATCAAGTATGATCTTACGATTCTGCTTGTATTATGCACTCGCTCAAATTACTTTTGGATATGGTATGTTTAATTCTATGATTATGTTTTTAAAATCTTTTTATTTGTAACTAATCATGTCGATGTATTGTGGAGAAGTATGACACAAGGGTGTCGATAAACTTATGTATCAATGAACTAAATAAAAAGCATTGCCTCACGATGATATACATGAAAATGATCAGAAATCTTATAACTGCAGTGGGTCACTTGTTTTTCAAGTGGCATTTGGAAAAAAAAGACTATCAATTCAATAATGGTTCTTCTTCATGACTCTACTGTAAATAGACATACAAGAATGAAAAGAATACAACTATACCAAATGGATTTGAATGTCTATGCAAAATGTTTCTAGGACTCAATTCCATTTACAAATGTTGTGGTAAAGAATATAAAGAATAAGTAAAGAATTTAATGTGACATGATAGAAAAATGGCATTTTTCAAGGACATAAAAAGGTACGAAACGTTTGAACTGTTTCTTATTAGTCCTCTGAAGGTGAAACCGCGGAGAGGACTATAGATGTCCTCTGCGCCTGTCCGTCTGTCCGTCTGTTTGTTCTACAAGGGTTATTCGAAACGTTTGTGGACTAGGGCCATAAAATTAAAACCGCTTAAGATACATCAATGAATTTTTAGCGTTTAATTAGCATCATCTTTTTGTTTATAATTAACTATAGATCATTAATTATCTTTTTTTTAATATATTGTTTTTTTAAGCAATGGTATGTCCAGGCGGCGCAACATCGAAGATTACTTTATTGTCCCCCGCTTTCGCAAAAGTGAGGGGACATTAAATCTCATTCGTCTGTCCGTCTGTCCGTCTGTCAGTCTGTCAGTCTGTCCGTCACAAAAACTTTAACCTTGCACATAACTTTTGATTTAGTGGAGCTATGACTTTCATATTTCACATGTGTATTTCTTGTGATAAGACCTTTCTTTGGGTACCACTGAATTAGACCTTTTGACCTTGGAGTTTGACCCACTTTTACTCAAAAATTCCAAACTTTTACTTTGGCCATAAATTTTGAATAGTAGGTACTAGGACATTCATATTTCACATAATTATTGTTTGTGGCAAGACCTTTCATTGGATAACAACAACCTTGACCTTTTGACCTTGACCTTGGAGATTTACGTACTTATGAAAAAACTTTAACCTTGAACATAACTTTTGAACGGTGGGGACAAAGGCTTTCGTACTTCACATATGTAATTCTTGTGAGAAGACCTTGCATTGGATACCAATAACTTTTACCCTTTGACCTTGACCTTGGAGATTTAACTACTTTTAAAAAGTTTTAACCTTGGTCACAACTTTTAAACAGTAGATACTAGGACTTTTATATTTCACATATGTATTTTTTGTGGCAAGACCTTTCATTGGATACAAACAACCTTGACCTTTTGACCTTGACCTTGGAGATTTACATCCTTATGAAAAACTTTAACCTTGACCATAACTTT